GGGGAGGGCGTATGGGGTGGGGAGTCCACTGGAATCGGGGGAGGGAGGGGCGGGGTCAAGAGGGGAGGGGTTGCGGGAAGAGGTGGGGGGCCATCTACACATGTACGCTAGTATTTCTTTTGAATTGAACTGTAGGCTACAAGGGCCATGTCTTCACTGAAAAACAATGCATATGTACACTAGTACAACTGTTGCAGCTTCGCTCTGACACAGCATGAAGTGGTCTGACGAAGTGTATACGTGTATGAAGGAGTAGTATTGAGTACACTCGCATGATGTGCAAGGGGAGAGAGAGAGAGAGAGAGAGAGAGAGAGAGAGAGAGAGAGAGAGAGAGAGAGAGAGAGAGAGAGAGAGAGAGAGAGAGAGAGAGATGCACAACACAGTTTCCAGGCAAAACAGATCCAAGCATGGCGCAGCACTTCAATTGTTAGCAGTCTACTCCCCCAGATGTTCGGTTTGGTCACTCCGGGTAGACTGTGAGGACCCTGGCCTCAATCTACTTAGAAAAGAAAAGAAAAGAAAAGAAAAGAAAAGAAAAAGTATTAGCCCGGCGCACGAATGGGGCGAATGCTTCAGCATGGCCACTGAGTGGGCTGGTACTGGCCTAAGGGGAGTCTGGAGTCTGTTATCGACCCTGGCCAGAAGTTCGGTTCGGTCACTCCAGGTAGACTGTGATGACCCCGGCCTCAATCTTCTTAGAAAAATAAAAATAAAAAGGTATTAGCCCGTCGCACGAATGGGGCGAATGTTTCAGCATGGCCACTGAGTGGGCTGGTACTGGCCTAAGGGGAGTCTGGAGTCTGTTATCGACCCTGGCCAGGGTGGAAAAATGTTATGGCCTCGCCGAGCACGAGGCCCATGAGGCCATAAAATTTTAATTGCCAAGCCAATAACGTCCTCAAAGCATCAGTTGCCCTGGGCCAGTAATGTGGCCTGTGCCCAACAAGAAAGGGCTGAATATGCATGCTGCCATATCCTTCTATGAGTTCGCCTTTTTTTTGTGCGTGGGGCTACAGGGTGACCCAGGCCCATTTGTTACTTTGGCCTGGCCAGTTGTTCCTAAGGGCATCACACTCATTTTTTATTTATTTTTATTTAAACACCTCCAGGGCATGATCCATCAGGTGTACAGATCTTTTAGGAAAAAAACAAGGTCTACAGATCTGTGGAGGCACCCCTATGTAACTATCTACAGATCTGTGGAGGCACCCCTATGTAACTATTGCTGGACAAATTGCATCAGTTTGCCGACGTGAAAAAAACAAAAAAGCTTGCTGACATAAAAAAACAAAAAAGTTTGCTGACGTAAAAAGACCAAAAAAGTTTGCTGACGTAAAAAAACAAAAAAGTTTGCTGACGTCATTGTGCGTGGTAGTAAGGTTACAATGGGCTATCCCACAGAGCTTGTGACAATGAGTCCATTGAAAGAGCACTATAGTACTATACCGTTAGGTGAACTGCTAAGGGTATAGTACTATAGTGCTCTTTCAATTGACTCATTGAAATTTGAAAGTTAACTGGTTTTAGTCGTCGGGAGAAAATCTGGAGAAGTCTATACCACAGAGCTTGCGACAATAACTGCAGAGACCAGGATGTGAATTTCGAAGATGTTTATTTATTTACTTATTTTGTGCTCAGACTGTGCCTGTTTCTCCATCAGCCCTGCATAGCAGGCCTACCCTCGATCTTCCCTGGCCGGCAATCGAGATGGGAGGTCAAGTCAGGGTGGTGGAGGAGATGAGGGGGGGTGGAGAGGAGAGGGGGGGAGGGGGGGGGAACTCCTTTGCGGCTTCCCTGGCGGGCCTGAGTCGTATTAGAGGAGACCGGGTGTCAGCGGGCTACTATGGAGGTGTCTGTGGAGGAGGAGGGGGAGTAGCCAGGGCTGACAGAGGAGGGGCGGATGGGTGTTGACGGGGGTTGTGATCCAGGAAAAGGTGGTCACGGTGTTGGGCACAGTGGGCAGGTGGGATAAGAACGAAGTTTGTGGGTCGGTATTCCACATGGAAGTGATATTTATTTATTTATAAGTTCAAAGATATTTCAGAATTTCATTTTGCGGCTGATGGACCTGAGTTTTCCAGTTACCTCCTGATGATAGGCTGGTATGTTTACTGGACTTCTTTGGGCCCTTTTGAGTCTTGGACCTAGGCTTCATTTCCGTGCGCACGAGTGCCCCCGGCACGCATGGATCCACGCACGGATCCGTGCGGCCCCAGCAAAGTGTGAATGGGGGGCAATTCCGGGTCCGCCATATCGAACCTCCATCCCGCCGTCTCCCACCTACCGCCCGCCACCTCCCACTTCCCCTCTCGCCATTCACCACCTCCATCCCGCCGTCTCCCACCTACTTCCCGCTACCTCCCACTTCCCCTCCCACCATCTCCCATGTCCCTCCGACCATTCTCCGCCTCCCTCCTGCCACTTTGGTCCTTTTCTCCACCATCTTCTTCCTCCCTCCTGCCGTCCTCTGCCCCCCTCCCGCCATCTCCTACCTCTTCTCGCGCCGTCCGCCGCCTCCTTCCCGCCACCTCCTACCACTCCTCCAGCCACATCCTACCTCTCCTCCCGCCATCTCCCGCTACCTCCCACTTCCCCTCCCGCCACCTTCCACTTCCCCTCTTTTTTTTTTGAAAGCCCAGGGTGTTGTAGAGGCCAAGGACCAGACCCCCGGTGATTGCTAGTAGCGGCAGCCAATGGTTGTCCTGACAGGATAGGCCACCTACCCTACCCATCCCCACGTTAATACTCCCAGGGCACCCCCTGCCTCCACTATCCTACCTCAGTGTGATCAGCACTAAGGACCATCACCCTACCAGTATCGAGGGCAACTTGGAGAAGACAGCAGTGACAAGCACCAAGGCTGAGCCACCCTCCCAGCCCTGATGGAAGCGGAAGCGGACGAACCTTGCCGTACGGGAACTTCGGACGCCAGCCTCATGCAATCTTCTACAGGCCCAATTCAGAGAGTCTACCCAGCAGGATTGCCTAAAAAGGCAGGCCAGCGCCCACAGGCACATCCTACCGTCCTTCCCCTAGCTTACCCAAGGCTAGGCGGAGCTCCGACTAGCCGGAGCGACTTATATCCCTACCCCTACCCTAGAGCTAAGCCATGCGCGAGTAGACCCCGTCATATACCTGGTAGACCCCCCCAGCCCAGTATCGTAATTTGTGTGTATGTGTGTATGCCCAGAGGCTATGTATGTTTGTATGAGCCCATAGGGCCATGTGTTTTTGTATCTGCCCGAAGGCTCTGTGTGCTCTGTGTACCTGTATAGCGAGATGTATGTGCCCGAAGGCCAGATATGTGCAGTCTATGTGTGCTCTGTGTAACTGTATAGCGAGATGTATGTGCCCGAAGGCCAGATATGTGCAGTGCTATGTAGAGGGAACTATGCGTTCATTTGAAGACATGACAGGCCAAGCTGGACAAGAACCCCCCCTAAAGTCCCCAGCCAGACTCGAACCCCTGATCTATGACATGTGACCTAAAAACTCTACCATTTGAGCAACCATCGCAAACGGCCCCTGTGTGTGATATGCCAGACTGGGGAGATCAACAGAACAACCACAAGCAACAGCCACAAGCAAGCCATGCAGTATCAAGACCCGACATACAACACCATGGACAACCCTTGGGTGGTGCGCAGGCAGTGTCTGTATAAGCTTACTGTGCGTCAGCCCAAGGGAATGTGTGTCCAGCCGTGCATCATTCTAACGCCCTGCCGGTGTCCATGCGCAAGGCTGCAATTGAGTTTTGAACCCGCAACCTTATACCACAATGCACATTTCCAACCGGTGCACTAACCACTGAGCTAAGTCTTGCAGATATGGCTCGACAGTCGAGTCTTGCAGACAGGGCCTCAAAATATGTATTTATTTGCAGACGTGACCCTTGTAGCCCACAGTTCAGTCAAGGGCTGACAATACGCACAGAGGCTTGGGCTTAGGTGTTTTTTTTTTTTTTTTTTTTTTTTGTGGGTTAAGGTGCTTGATTAGGGAAATGCTTCAGTCTTTTTGTCATCTGTGGCTTTTCAGGTACGCAAGCTCTTGCCCGAATGAGTTAAAGGCACTGGACAAGTTGGTCAGTGAGACAAAGCACAGAGAGAGCTTTCTGGCAGACTACTACTACGACATTCCGGATGAAGACTTTAGACTGATGATGAGCGCGTACGAGTGGCCGAAGCGTGTGCAAGTCGTTCTCGATATTCACGTTAAGAAGATCGAGGACGAACATGAGCGCTTTGAGAATGCGCTGAAGCAAAGGCGAACCAGCTTTGCCGCTCTTTTGGAACAGTAAGACTCTTCTCTTTTCCCAATTCACACTTCCATCCTCTGCCATACTCAACCTCCACAACTATCTAGGAAGGCAAACATTGTGCTGATTGTTTCGCCGAATGCTCGCCGGCTGTGATGAATGAATGGAGAGTTGGTAACCTTGCATGGAGGATGTTGTTGGATATGTGAAGCTCAACCTGCAAAACTATGATGTTGTGGATTTGTGTAACCCAACCTGTGGTCTGAGAAAAGAAAAAAAATGAAAAGAGAAAGAAGAACTTAGTTCTGGAGATAAGGTTCCTATAGTTCTGCGGATAAGTTTCCTATAGTATTAGTTCTGCGGATAAAGTTCGTATAGCTCTGCGGATAAGGTTCCTATAGTTCTGCAGATAAGGCTCTGCAGATAAGGTTCCTATAGTTTTGCAGATAAGGTTCCCATAGTTCCGCCAATAGGGTTCCCATAGCTCTGCAGATAAACTTCCTATAGTTCTGCAAGTAAGGTTCCTATAGTTCTCCAGATAAGGCTCTGTGGATGAGGTTTGTATAGTTCTGCAGATAAGGCTGTGCGGATAAGGTTCGTATAGTTGTGCAGATAAGACTCTGCGGACAAGGTTCCTATAGTTCTGCAGATAAGGTTTCCATAGTTCTCCACATAGGGTTCCCATAGCTCTGCAGATAATGTTACTATAGTTCCACAGACAAGGTTCCTATAGCTCTGCAGATAAGGTTCCTATAGCTTTGCAGATAAGGTTAAGGTTCCTATAGTTCTGCAGATAGCCTCTGCTGATAAGGTTAAACCACCAGTACACCCGACCCTCTTTTCCCGAACCGATGCGCCCCCTGTGAGCCATTTTTTTCCGAGCCTACTTTCGAAAGGTACCGGTAATGGGAAATCATGAGTGGCACCGGTGCCAGTTCGTTGTTGGATTTCAGGCTGGACTCGGCCTGCCAAAGTCGGACATTCGAGATGCCTGTTCTGTACGGCGGCGCGATGTGAACCGTGTGGAAGGTTTTTTTTTTTTCTTCTCATTTTCATTGCGTTTCTCATTGGACTTCTGGAGCGCATGCCAGGCCACCTCCTGCCAACCAACTCCTCCCCCTATCGGTCCATATGGTGATCAGGCTACGTGGCATGGAAGTGACTGTCCGCCCTCATCATTGCGGTCATCCACCTACATGGCATGCCACTGGAATCGACATCCCCTACTGTTGTATATGGGGATGCCTCTCGAAATGTGATGTGGGATCGGCTCAACTCTCTCTCTCTCTCTCTCTCTCTCTCTCTCTCTCTCTCTCTCTCT